TTAGTTATTAACTAGCTGCATGGCCTGGGGCAAATTAATTTTAATTCAAACTTTCTTCTCTATATAATGGAGGTAATTACAGTATTCATTGATGATCCGTGTAAAGCATTTAGCCAGTCATAGCAGGTGCTCTACAAATATGTTTTTATTATCATCCGTGAGAAACCCTGTGCATATTAGCATATTAAAAGCTCTCCGGAGGCTAAGGAGACTTTAAATCCTGAAATTTAACTTTTACTCAATGTAAAACTGAAAAATCACAGTGGAGTGATTAGCATGCAGTAATAAAATGAGCGGTGAGTTGAACAGTAAAGTTGAACAGCTTTGCCTGGATGGCTACTGCTGTTTGGCCTAAACATGGCTTCATTGTGAAAATTTCTTCAATTCATTGTGTTTCCCCCATCTGACAGCTTCGTGCAAAGAACATATAGATTGTTGTTCTTTATTATAGTCCCAGCATCTGGGACAAAATCAGAGGCTTTAAAAGCAAAGTTGGTATCAACCTACTTTGCTTAAAAGCATTCACATTCAGTTATTTGAAGCACTGTTTACCCTGGGGCAAAAAGGCATCCCTGAGCTGAATGGTGATATCGTTAGAAAACAACATAAACTCCTGCATCCAACCTGCACTTTTGAAAAATTTAAATGACAGTTAATCAACAAGTACTAGAAAATCTCTTTCCAGAGCTTCTAAAGCCAAAGATAATAAATGGCTTCTAGCATTTGAGAAGTTTTATTAGCCCATAGATGTGACTGGAAGCTAATCCAAAATATTTTTATATGTCACAAGGCAAGATTTTTTAATGTTGGCATTATGAATGGTATTTCAGGTAGTATTTCACTATAGAACATGTGTATGTGTCATGAACGATGACTTGTAGAAACTGTTGGAAAACTATTAACTATTATATAACCCAATGAAGACTTTGTTCATAGTAGTAAGAATACAGAGTTTCTCAAGCTTTAAATTCATAAGCTCTTTCAAGTTTGTGCTTTGGTGAATTTTTTAATATACTATTTTAGAACAGTTTTGATTCCCACCAAAATTGAATAGAAAACATTCAGTGAGTTTTTATGCTTTTATTTTTCTTCCTTTAAACCAGAACAATTTATATCATTTTCATAAAACAATTTTTCTCTTGGTATTTTTGGCCAGTCATGTACATTTGGTGAAATTATGTTTATCAGTAGTGCTGTATAGTTTTTCCTTCTGAGCTAGAGCTGACGACTCTCATATCAGTCCTTAGAAGACCTTCACAAAGCATTCAGATTGAAATCTGCTTTATTGCATTTGGTTCTGTTGAGTGTTCCTTCTTTCCTTTGTTTAAATAATCTCAAGACTTTTAACATTAGTATTTCCATAGTTATGAT